GACTTAAGCCTTCAGTATGAACATTTTCAATACATACCTGAACATTAAGAAAATAAAAATCCTCACAACCAGACAAATAGACAACAACATGATACACAGAGAAAAGATTTAAGTTGTCATTGATTTAACATCACTTAGCTCCCCCATCAAGACTCACAGTAGCAGCAGTCAAGAAATCAAAAGACACGTGGCATAGGGAAAATCTACCATCAGGAATCTCTCTAAAATGTTAAAAAGCAAGGATGATGCATAAAGACTAAGATGCTTCTGATCAAAGTCATGATATTTCCAATCGCTTCCTAAGCATGTGAAAAGTTAAACTCAAGGAAGTGCTGACATCTTTGAATTGTGGTATTGGTAAAAGAGTATTCAGTATTTTACGGACTACAAAAAGAACAAGTATGTCTTAGAGGGAGTGCAACCAGGATGGCTCTTAGAGGCAAGATAGTGAAACTTCTCCCTCCTAATTTAAGCATATCCCCAAGAGGTCATAGGGACATCATGGTGGGAAAAGTAGAGGGTTAGCGAAGAAAAGACTTTCAAGGAACAGTCATCCTGAATCCTTCTGATCATATGGAGATATTTGAAAGTATTTCTTTGAGTTTATTATGTTTAATTTGTTTTATTTGTTTGTTTGTATATAAAGGATGCTCATCTAGATGATAACATAATTATGATAAAAACAAAAGGGGAAAATATGGGAAACCAATACTAAATATCTGTAATAAACTGAATGCTATTTAAATAAAAATTTTAAAAAAGGAATTCATCTTTCACAAGACAGACTGACACTGTGACTGAAGCAATAAGTTTGAGAATGATGGAATTTGTCAGGATAGCTCATAGTAGAGCAATATTTTGATCTGTGATTCATAGGGTTATTCTTCTTGTTGTTATTATGTGCCATCAAGTTGCCTGCAATCAATAGGAACCCTATGTACAGCAGTGCTGAAATCTGCCCTGTTCTGAGCCAGTCTCACTAATTATGACACACCAAGCCCCATTGTCCCAGTTACTGTATCCACCCATCTCATCAGGGGTCTTCCTCTCCTGCCCTGTCCCTCTACACTTGCCAGCATGATGTCCTTCTCCAAAGACTGGTTTCTCCTGGCCATGTGCTCAAAATATGTGAGACGGAGCTTCAAAATCCTAACTTCCAAAGAGAAACTTGATTTGACCCTCTTCAAGACAGACCTATTTGTTTTTTTGGTGGTCCTTGGCATGTTCAAGAGTCTTCTCCACCACCACAATTCAAAGGCATCAATTCTTCACGTAGGCAATTAAATAGTACCTAACAATAAATCTTTATGAGTGGAAACTGCCTCATTATTCTTCTATGGAGAAACTGGTGAACACGAAACATCACCATTGGTTAGCAGCCCAGCACGTAAACCTTATCAGGGCTTCTTTAAGGCACTACAACATAATGCAAGGAGAACTTTTATATGCTACAAAACCAAAAAATTGGTGTGATTTTCAATATTGCAACAGTCACTTCATTGTTTTGGTCTAGAAACAAATCTATAAGATCTCTAATGATCCAGGCCATAGTCTTTGCTTGCTATGTGACAGAGAGCTGGACAATGATTAGGGATGATAGAAAGAGAATTGATGCGTTTGAGCTGTGTTACTGGAGAAGAATGTTGAAAATAGCATGGACTGCTAGGAGAACAAACAGGTTAGTCCTGGAGAGGGTAAAAACTGGGCTCCTCCCTGGAGGCAAAAATTCTGAAACTTCATCTGACATACTTTGGACATGTTACAAGTAGGGACCGGTCCTTGGAGAGAGATACCGTGTTTGGGTGGGTGGAGGGACAGTGCAAGAGAGGAAGACCATTGATGAGATGGATCGATTCAGTAACTGGGGTATGGGGGTATGTGTGTTAGAGACAACAAGGTTGGCACAGGATAGAGGAGGGTTTAGGGCTCTTGTACACAGATTCACTATGAGTCGGAAGTGACTCAACAACAACAACAACAACAACAACAAGGTATAAAAATACTTATGTTATTGTTAAATGTAATGGAATCAGAATCAACTCCTATCTAAACCTCCAGTGGGTTTTTAGAGGCTGTAAACAATTTCACAGGATGACACTGCCCATCTTTCTCCTGTGGAGTGGCTGGTGGATTTTGAAGTACCTGCCTTTGGGTTGGCAGGACAACTCTTTACCACTAGGCCACCAGAGTTCCCTCTAACAATACTAGGTTCTGGTAACACAAAGCTAAGTACTAAAACTAAATGGAAAATTGTAATGAAAAGCAAGATTTCTAAGAAAGAGATAAAGTATTTGATATACATGATTTTTTATATTTGATAACATAAAACTAAAAAATCTTGGTATCAAATTCTTAAAATGATCTCCGGTGTATGCATTTTCCTAGCAAGAATATCAATAGTTTCAGGAAGAAGTTTTGTCTGAGGTTTCCAAGGGAAAAAACCTCAGAGAAGGTGATGGGTGAACCCCATGCCTTTGGGATGGCAGGACAATTCTTTCCCGCTAAGCCACCACAGCTCCCTCTTGTCTGACTTTTGTGGTATAAAATGAGTTTATGCTTTGTAAGGCCTACAACTTTGACATTTCATTGTACTGAGCTGGGATTTGTGGATAAAGGATAAAATAAACAGTCCTGCAATGGACAAGACTCACTGACTGCCATGGGATATGTGAAAATAGTGTGGGAAAAGGAAATAATGTGTTGTATGATAAACAGGACAAAGGACTAAGTCCTCTGGAACTTGGAGTTAGAAACAATGACAAATTACCAGGATAGGTAGAGAAGGAGTGTATATTTCATAAAAATGCAGACATAGTTCACTTCTGTAACTATCAACACATCTAACTTAGAATATGAAACTGTACATAGCTCAATCAACATATTTGTTATTATTTAATAATTATTATTCCTCTGTGAAATCTTTCTTGCTGGTTTGGCAATAAAAACACTTCTAAATAAAAGTAAGATTTAAGATTAAAACTGTTTTCATTTTAGCATCTTGTATATGTAAATCTATACTTTTATGTCATTTATTAGTTTTTCTAACACTAAAGAATAAAGTTGTATTAGCAATAATAAAAAAAATAATTGACTTGAAAATGAACCTTTGTAAATTGGAAATTCTTTATCTGGAAGTTTATATACTGAAAACAAAATTAGTCAATGAAATCCTCACTCAAGAATCAGAGGCTGTTTAGTTTCTGTAGTTCAAATTCTGCTTTTAAATT